GCGAATGATCGCCAGCCTGACGTGGACAGCTTCTCTGCTTAAAAAGATAAATAAATAAATTCTCTTTTAAAAGCAAAGCCAGTGCCTCATGAGACGGGTACCGAAGGCCCAGCACCGGAACCAGCATAGACACAGTCCATCTTCACATCCGGCAGCGGATGATCGCTTGTTCCTTTTGAAAAGTGTAATGAAGCATCATCGTGAGTATACAGGCACTCTACCAGCATGACAGTACAGAATTCCATCCTCCTTGTGTCCCCACCACATGACAGGCGACCATTCATCCACGAGGTTAGCGAGCGTCTGGAGGTGGCCGTATGCAGCCGGCTGAGGACCACACGGTCGGCGCAGTGCGATGAAAGTGAAGAAGCAGGCAAATACGAAGAGCCCAATACATAGATTCCAGATCTGCATGAATGTGTGAGAATGTTGCGACAATTTACATGGGAGTAAGTGCGAACCTGGGCAGTGAACATGACTACTGCCACACCTCCTAGGCGCTCGTTAACAGCGTCGTCAGCTGTGCTGAATGAAAGCCCAAACATCCAGTCTGTGAACCGCCAAGGATAGTGTTCAATGAGACCGACAATAAATTACTAGGTGTGAATGACTCACGCAAGAAGGGCTTCGAGATGAAAAGTATGAGACAGATCGGATCAGTCAAAACCGACTTCAGCGGGTTCGTCGCCACTCGAAGTCCTTTCCTTCCAGTAGCGCATCTCCACTGTCTTTCGTCTCGAATGACATTTGTGATGAGCTCCGAACAATGTAGCCCAAGCGTCAACGGTCCCTGGACCATTACGATGTTGACAAAAAGCAGAATCCACCACTCAGGTCCGACGTATGGCAGAGCATATATGTGTAATTGGACTTCTCGTTGTGGAAGAACGACCACGTTTGCAGGATCAGCTGGGGAGAATCAAACCCGCCGAAGAGGTCCCAGATACACATGACGAGTGCGGCCCATCCAACGCATGCTGCAACAATGACCCAAAGAAAAATGATGACTTTCCGGATGCTAGGGTGGGCATGCCACGGAGAAGGTTGTGTCTCTGGTGGTTTCGCTGGACCTTCAAATGTTTATGTCAGACACAGGACGCATGCATCGGAAAGTAGCAGGGGTCAATTGTGTGTGGTGGACCAATGCAGCGGTCAAGTCGAATGGTGAGGAGCCATGTCAATATGTTGGCGCCCGCATCCCTGACAATGCAACCATCACCTGGAGGAGGAGTACGACGCCCAACATGAGTAGAGGTAACCCTGCGATGGCAAGACCCTCTTGCCAGTGGGACTCTGAGAGATAGAATCATCTCAGAACTGACTTGTAATATCTCCCGGACGTCCGGACATACGATGAGCGAGGGCAAGCTGTAAGATACAATGAGGAGGATAGCCGAGATACCGTTGAGAAGGGCGCCATTAGGGTTATGCCATCCACGAGCTGCGGTCAAAAGGCGCAAATTGGTGTTGAAATGAAGTCGAGACTCTGAGGCTAGCGCAGAACGCAATGAGATGCCGTGTACAAAGCCTACGGACTCGGTACATAATGTAACGATTAAGTCAAGTATCAGGGTCAATATCTGCCCCTGCAACGACAATCGCCTAGTATTCGAGCCGTCATCCATATCGACCACGAGGTAGGGCAGCCTAGTTACTCCCAAGATTCCGTGTTTGGCTAAAGTGAGAACACCTGCAATGATGCATAAGCAGCTGAAGATACTTGAACATGCCACTCCGACAAGGGCATATCTGCGACTCGTCAGATTGCGGTCGTAGAAATGAGTTCCAGTGTCAGATATTGTCGAGGTCAAAGTCCTGGTGACCCGGGTATGTAAAAAGGCTGGATGGTTGAGAGTTTTCTTCTATCGATTTGAAAGAAGCTGCCCTCATGATTGGGGGCAGCAGAGACAGGAAGGCCAGCGCATTATAGATGTGCAGATTAAATATATTTCGCTTATGACCATAGCCTCTGGTGTATGTAGTGAGGAAGTTTATATGTGACGGTGTCACTATAGTAGCCGTTCATCACGCTCTTTCTCACTCCTGTCCAAATCGTTATTGAACTCATTTATTCCTATAACTACAATCAGGTCGATGCCAACAGCTACCCCCAGTATAAAAGCTGTGGCTGTACCCCCAAATATCAAACTTTTAGCCTAAGACTCAAAAATGCCAAGCCTATCGAATTTAGTTACGGTTAAACCCGGGTGATGGTTTACATAACCGGACCTCTACATATGTTCTTCACATGTTAACGCTCATACAGCTTCTCCTCCATGTGCTGACCGCATAGTACACTCGAACACCGTCTTTCTTTGCTTTTATTACTCCATTCCTTATCGATGGAGGCAGCATCCGGCCCATCATCTTGGGATAGCATACCCTCAATGCCCTCGTCGGCGATGCGAGCAGCAAAGGATATCATGTTCGGGAGTGTGCGTTTTTGAGGCTGATTTATTTTCCTGAGCCACAAGAATGACAATCAGTTGTGAACAGATCGCAGGCATGGTCTCCAAAGTCTTTGAACACCCATTCGACTTGACGAAAGTGCGATTGCAATCTCAAGTTCTCGATACCACTGCTAGATTCAATGGACCAATAGACTGTCTTGTCAAAACATGGGAAAATGAAGGCGTTAGAGGTCTTTACCGCGTACGTGACCTCTACCCACCAGAACCCTGCGTGAGCTCATACTGGTCGTAGGGCCTTCCGGCGCCAATAGTGGCCGCCATGCTAGAGAATGCTTCTTTGTTCCTGTCATACAGCGAACTTCAAGACGTGATACGACGGATAAATTCTCAGCCTTTGTCACACGAACTTTCGTTACCTCAGCTTGCATTGGCCGGTGCAGGCGCGGGCTCCATCACTAGTTTCTTACTGCAAGTCACTCACGCCTGGTATACGAGTTGTAATTGATTCTTATTTTTGACTAGGACACCAGTGGAGCTTGTAAAATGTAAAATGCAAGTACAGATGATTGCCCCCAAGCCGCTTTCAGTCTCGATACCTGAGTCTACCGCAGCAGCAAGCCTAGACTCAACCCTGGCACCTGTTTCTCGCCCTCTTCCCGGTCCTATAGCCGTTCTCATGTCCGTCATCCGCACAGAAGGCCTCCGCGGCCTTTGGCTTGGCCAAACTGGCACGCTCATCCGTGAATGCGGTGGTGGAGCTTCATGGTTCGCTACAAAAGAGTTCGTCGGGACAAAACTAATAAAGCGGCGCGGCTCCGAGCTTACACGTAAAGACATCCTCCCATGGGAGTCTGCGTTGTCTGGTGCATGCGCAGGCGGAGTATTCAACTTTTCCATGTTCCCTGCCGATAGCATCAAGAGTACAATGCAAACTGAGGAAGACTTGCGTCCTCGAGGCAGTAATGCCCCCAAGCCAACGTTCCTTGGCACCGCGAAAGCGATGTACAGGGCACAGGGTGTGAAGGGGCTTTACGCTGGCTGCGGTATCACTGTTGCTCGATCAATACCCAGCAGCGCGATTATATTTCTGATTTACGATGGCCTAAGTAGCCGTTTTGGATAGTAGAATGGGCACGAGAACAAATTACCCCGGGCGTATTCATAATATAGCTGACCTCTCATGCGATGTCTTGATGTCAAAGTTAAATTTACATGACATGTCCTACGTGCCCGACTCCCACGAGTGGGAGGAGGGTTTTGTCAAACGTCGGCGCTCAGGCACCTGCAATCACTGTGAGAAACTGTTTCCCCAACGTTTCCGATCAGGCTCTTTTTTCGCCGGTAGTCCTGGTCTGACTGTCAGGGAAGTTCAAAGCCGAGTTTCGAGGCCGTTTTCGATGTCGGAATTGTCCGAAGACAGGATCTAATGACAGCCTGATTTGGCCTTTGCGACCTTGCTAGCTCACGGAAGACAAAAAATGTTGCGCCTTGGCGCCTTTACTGTATCTAAACAAGGTTGCGCAGGATGCTGATGCGCTGTCGCTAGTGCCTGGATTGTGTACTTAGCATATCTGAACAGCACAGGCGAGCATTACAACCATGTCGACATTGAAGGAGTTCTTGTCGAGGATGCAATAGCAGGCTGTGTTTGCATGAGCTAATTATATTGATACAACTTGGTACGGTGTGGCGAATGCTTGGCACCTATGGGTTTTCTCGTTTTCAGGTCATTTACCTGACGCCAAGATTTGAATAGCTGGTCCGCTCTAGACAAACACGCCGTAAAACTGTATGGGTGACAGCGGTCACTCTTGACAACTCTGTGATGGCGTGTGGGTATTGCAATACGTGTCATCTTGGCACGACAATGTTGACTTGCCCTGGCCATGACATGTAACTTTGACTGTTTTGACTTCCTTCACAATCTCTGATTAGGTGTCAGTGTCGGTTATAAAATTATATGGCTGGACTATGTTGGACCACATTGCCTACAACCCGAGGGTGCCGAACATCCGCAATGCGGTACCAAGCTGTCCCCTCGACAAGAACTTCCCCAGCGCTGACATTAGGTAAGTGCCAGTGCTTGTCATGCTATCCTGTGCTAGCTACATCTGCCAGGTGCACAATTCGGGCAATAATCCACAGGGACCCGACTTCGATGAGATACGATAAACGTACATAAAGTTGGTTTTCATCGGGACCTCACAGGTTCTGCAGTATTTTCGTGACCTCCAACACACATCTTATTCTCAAGTGTTAGTTGAAATCCATCCCTTAGTCACATGTCAAGATCCATCCCTGGCCATTTCAACAACTGCCCTTCAGCCTTGGAAGAGGGCCTCAGTCACCCAGAACACCCCCAGGATACAGGACATAGAAACCTCGTGATCAGTGAAACGCTACAAGTTGTCGTCAATAGTATGTGTCACGCCTATCTTCATTTACCACGTACCGATGATTTCCCAAAGCACTCCTGGCGGCACTTTATTTCGTCGTTAATCTCTTGTTTTGTTTCACGACAAACTCCGTGTCAGACCCGCCCAATGATAGCCTCCAAGCCTTAGGCGAGGGGCCGGGCCAACCAGAACAACCCAAGGATTCAGGAGAGACAAACTTGGTGACCAGTGAAATGTTACAAGTCGCCATCAACAGTATGTGCCATCTACCTTCACTCAGCACGTGGTGCCCATGATTTTCCATGACAGATTCTGTGTCGAATCCACTCGATGATGCCCTCTCAGTCATGGATGAGGAGCCAAGCCACTCAGAACACCACACACAGGACTCGGGAGAGATACACCTCAGTGGAGTGCAACAAGTCGTCATTACTTGTATGTATCATCTATCTCTATCCAGCTCTTATTGACAATTTCCCTCAAGCCATTCGCACAACCGATCTTCAGCAGGAGCGGCCTGCCACACCCATACTTCCGTTATCGCCAAATCAGCTTTTTCATCGAGCACAGCGGTGTTTGGAGAGAGATGAAACCTGTGCCTTAGATGAAGTGATATCCCTTTATTATGATGCACTGGGATACTACAATACCGGACATGCTTACCGAGGGCAATTGCTATGTAATGCGGCTACGATGCTGCAAATTCGCTTCGAGCGTCGAGGCAATGGCAAAGACTTGGATCAGGCTATCACGCTTCAGATGGAAGCGCTGGCCTTGCACCCAGTCGGTCACACAGATTGGTCCACGTCATTAAATAACCTCGTGACCCACCTCTTCTCCCGCTTTGAGCATCGAGGCAACGACGAAGACTTGGATCAGGCTATCGCACTTCACAGGGAAGCGCTGGCCTTGCACCCGGTCGGTCACGCAAATCGGTCCATTTCATTAAATAATCTCGCAAATCAACTCTCCTACCGCTTTCAGCACCGAGGCAACGACGAAGACTTGGATCAGGCTATCGCACTTCACAGGGAAGCGCTGGCCTTGCGCCCGGTCGGTCACACAGGTCGGTCCAAGTCATTACATAACCTCGCCAATCAACTCTCCGCCCGCTTTCACCACCAACACAATAGAGAAGACCTTGAGGAGTCACGAGAGAACCTCCGTTGTGCATTGGCTCTGATGATGCAACATGATCCTCGTCAATTACCAGTCCATAGGGTGCTGGCTAGCGTTTGTTTGTCGTTCTATCGTTCAAGCCTTGGCGATACCGGCGCAGCTGAAGATACCGATAGTCTGAATACTGCCATGCATCATCTCAAGGCAGCAGCAAGTACTGTCTCTGGAGGCTTGCGATCCCGCCTGCAAACAAGTCTGATTTGGGTCGGTCAAGCTTCTCAATATTCACATCCCACTGAACTGGAGGCATATCCAACTTCCATCCAACTTCTGGACGCTTATATGTCTACAACATCTTCAGTATCGTCTCGTCACAATATCATGAAGGACTTCCCAAGTACACTTGCCGTTGATGCTGCATGCTGTGCTCTTTGTAGTGATGATGTGTGTCGTGCTGTTGAGTTGTTGGAAGAAGGCAGGACTATCATCTGGACCCAGATGACACGACTCCGCACCCCTCTTGACAGCCTTCAGACTCACGGCGATCATGCAGTAGTCCTGATGAAGAGATTCAGAGACCTCAGCTCCCTCCTTGATAAACCTCCTGCAAACTATTCAGAAGGTAACTCAAGAATCGATATAGAGGCAGAGGAAACCCGGTACAGACGTCTAGTAGAGGAGTGGAATAGAGCTGTAGAA